ACAAGGGTTCCTTCCCTTGTATTTCCGATGTGGTACTTGGATTGTCACATAACAATGTTTGTAAGATTCTGCCAACACTGTGTTTCGAGATAGGCTGTGAATTGGTGGGCAAATCAGCAAACGGTGGATGAAAACTCGATGGATAATAGTTGTCATGGAGAAACCAAAGAACTATAGCGGAAAACCTATTGGACAATAACAACAATGGAAAAATCGTAAGACAATAAACGTATACCCGACCAATGGATAATAGTTGTCTAGACCGTCCTGCAACTTCAACACCACTTCCGCTTTACACCTTATCATCCTCTTCAAATCTGAGCATTGCTGTACCGGAGATTTCGCAAGACCACAGCCATAAAGTCGAGAACATCGTTCCCTCCAAACTAGGCTGATACATACACTCCATACTGCCCGTCCCACCGCAGCTTGGTCTGTTTATCCCTCCAGTTCCTCGCACACCACTATAAGAGAGTCTCCCAATCTTGGTGAGCCGGAGAGCATACCCTTGCAAATATTGAACCAGCATCCAAGTAATATAAGAACATGACACGAAAAGGTGATCGCGACTTTCCCTCCCCCCAGGGAATAACAAACAACATCCAGAAATAGGTTTCCCCCGTTTTAGCAGCTGATCTTGCAACGTCACACGATTCTGAATCACCTGCCACAACATCAATCCATGTCTTGGGATGATCTCAGTATTTCAAACCAAACGATACCATTCGACATCATTTTCATGCTGCCTGTAGGAGTTTCACACCTTTCTCACATAAAATCGTTTCATATCAACTCCATCCCAACGTGTGTTTAACCCTAAACTAGTTATAAAAGGCCTCGCTGCATACCTGCAATTTAGCACCCTTTTCCAGATCCATGACACTGCTGCCTCATGCTTCAAAGCCCATACTGATTGATTCTTCACTCTGTATTTTAAGATCCAAGCCACACATAGGGATGCTCCTTGAGTAAGGATTTCCCACAGGTGCCTAGTAACACACGCTTTATTTCACAATACAAAGTTTTGAATTCCTAGACCCCCTTCTCTTTTGGGATGAGCCAGAAAGGACCATGCTGCAACTGCTCTCGTTCTCATACTTGTTTCATCAATATCCCAAAGGAACTTGTTACAAATAGTCTACTTTTTTAATCACATAAGCTGGCAACAAAAATAGATTCATCCACAATTGAAGAATTCTTGTTAAGACCGATGAAACTAATTAAACTCTCCCTGCAAAGCTCAATGATTTAGACCTTATATTAAAAATTAAAATATTAATATTAATTCATTAATATTAATTATTAATAATTGAATTGGTTCGACTTGATGAAATATTGTAGAAAAGTAGCTAAGTCAAGATTAAGGAAAGCTTTCGACGAGATAGAAGGGTTCAGTGGTAAGTAATTATGGTTAGTAATAATTATACCGTGCATATTAAACTACTTAGGTCGTGTCAATCAGTGAGATTTAAGAAAGTGCTAGATATAAAACAAGTGTTGTGCCTTACCTAGCGCCTACCTCGCTAGATATTGCCTTACGTTGAAAGAAATAATAGTTAAGTATTCCACAATTGCTTAGAATCACAAGTCCATAAACCAAAATCATTAAGGCAACCTCTTGTTTCTAAAATATCATGAACAAAAGTAAGGTAAAGTATAAAATATATTATGGGGAAATAAGGAAGGAAAAAGAAGTACCATGATGGAAAGAATGCACAAAAAAAGGAATAAAAAGCTTCTCTAAAGAGGGCCGCCTCTAACTCTAACCAGGCGTCTAGAAGAACTCGAGAACGGAAGAAGGAAAAGGAAAGAAAGTTTTGATTTCTCTATAACCTAGTAGTAGATCAAGAGGGAGAAGAGAGACTGCATGACATAATTTACGACACAACCTAGTGTTGCCTAGGCCACACCGGACGCCAATGACACATTTTTGTTATGGGACAATCCAAGTACCACATCGGTAATACAAGGGAGGCCCTTGTATATTAGAGTCCACCTAGCCCGATTACTACGAGGCCTTTTGGGGGAGGACCCATGAGTAAAACCGTGCAGGTTTGGCCCAAAGCGGACAATATCGTACTAATTGAGCGGCCCGGTTTGGACAAGTGGTATTAGAGCCTGATTCGGTTCGGGGCAGTGGACGTCAGTTTGGTGGACCCTCATCGGTGACCTCAGGATTTGCGATCTGCGCCTGGTTTGGTGGATCCACGAGAGATCCACGTTTGGGCTACATCTGGTTTGGCGGATCGAGTGAGGTCCGCGTTTGTCTGGTGGAGAGATTCACGTTTGTTTGGCGGATCAAAGTGACCTCGGGGTTTGAGATCTGCATTTGTCTGGCGGGTCAAAGGTGATTCGCGTCTGTTTGGTGGATCCAGAAGAGATCCACGTTTGGGTTTGGCGGATCAAAGAGAGTTCCGCGTCTGGAAAAAAATTCTTGTACCGAGAAGCACATCGATACAAGGTGTCTGGCGGATCAAGATAATCGCTGAGGTGAGGACACGAAGATCGTGGTCCTTGTCTTGAGGGGAGGATTGTTATGGGACAATCCAAGTACCACATCGGAAATACAAGGGAAGGAACCCTTGTATATTAGTATCCACCAAGCTCATTAGTACGAGGCCTTTTTGGGGAGAATACCCAAAAGTAAAACCATGCGGGATTGGTCCAAAGCAAATAATATCGTATTAATTGAGCGGCCCGATTTGACAACCATCCCAAACAATGAACAACCCTTTCACTTTTCGGTCAACATTCAAACTAATAATTGTTAAAACATCATATTCTCGCTAACACGTGAAGCGGTAGTGAGCGAGCATATACTAATTGGCGGACATTTAACTGTAAACAAATAAGACACAGAGAAGCAAGTCTGTTAATTAGCTAGCGCGCATCAGATGATCGATCATATATATTTATACATCCTGGTCAGTGTTTCATTCCCTCCATCTGGACTACTCGATATCTAATTAGTTGCTAATAATTAATTAACAAGGAAGAGAAGTATATTATCTCTCAAGTTGTCTTAGTCGTGACTCGTGCGTAGCAATAATAATATAATCAATCTGGGGCCAAACCATCTAACTACCCTCCGCCTGCATGCTCTCCTCTTCCCAATTACAACAACATTCTTCTTCGACTCTTTCTCTCTATAAAAACCAAGCAACCAATCTCCACATTCCCCTCATCCTCTTCATCTCAAGTTCCCCACAAAAAAACTCATCAAATATCAATATATTTTCGTTCCGTAGATGGCTAGGAATCTCAAGTCGTCTTTGCTCCTCTTCATGATGTTGGTTATTCTTCTGCCTTTGACAACGCAGGCAGCACGCCCTCTCGTCGGAGCTGAGGTAGTGCCGACGGAGCTGCCGTCGACGCCACCCGTGCCTAAAGGGAAGGAAGGAGTCAAAGTGCCAAGGACTGCCGGCGGCGGATCCGGGCCGGCGATAATAGGCGTCAGCCACGTTACTAACTCCGGTCCCAGTCCTGGTGAAGGTCACTGATGACGGCTTAGAGACCGACCGCGAGCTGGCGATTGCCATGCAAATGGGGATTTCTTCTCTTCCTATTTATTTGTTTGTTTATTTATTTATGTTGGACTTTTGTTTTTGGGTTTCATGGAAAGATGGGAGACATTAGGCAGCGTGACAGTAAGAGTAAAAAAAATTTCTTTCTTCTTAACGTTTCTTTACGTATACGGGTAAATTGTAGGGAGAGCTTTTGTTTTTTTGGTATGGGACGGCAATTCTTTTTAGTTAGTGCATGGATTTAATAGTCGGGGGGATTTAATCTGTTAAATATGTGTAACTGTCATCTCTGGATCTTAATACATATACGGTACGGCAAAGATACAAAATACTAAAAGATTTACATTTGGTGTTCTCGTGGACTAGGTAAGAAGTTGGGTAAGGAAGTAATTAATTATCATACATGAATATGTATCTTTCAATAATTTGATTTATCGGAGCCAAGGTTCTTGACATGATATTGAAGATAATTTGTTCTTGAAATCACATGTTCAAGTTCTCATCACCCACTCGCTTGATGGAGCTAGTAAGGAAAGTGATTAAATACTATACATGGACATTTTCACACAAATCGAATTATTAGTGTCAACTGTGTTCTCGACAAGGTGTACATCTGGTGAGAGCGTTATTAATTAGTTGAACAATGCTATATATCTAGCGCTAAGGATTTTTACGAGATCGAATCTCTCATCTTTCTGTTCTCCATGCATGTCTCGATTAACATTAGCGTAAATAGGCTAATCTTGGTAATGTTTCAACATTAAATCCAGCGATCCTTACCTTAACTAGCTTTGGAGTCGATCGGTTTGTCATGAAGCTCTGAGTGGTAAGTGCATATACTGGGACAAGTCTTGTACGCATCACTCGCTTCGTTTCTGTCTATATGTAATGTGGCAATGGATGCAACCATGCAGGTTACAGATCTTTCCTTCTATGTATATCAAAAATCTGATCCCGTTAGGAAGAGGGGTGACAAGTTGACAACCCAAAGTCATAACGCATCATATTGTACCTTACCACATGTTTGATCAAAACTTAATAAATGTGCTCGAATCGAACTGTATGAATAGAAAATTTTGGTGCGGCTGGAACCAAATTGGCGCTTGGTTATGTAGTTCCGCAACATCTTTTCTCTGATTTGGAAAGTCGTCTTACGCCTAATGACCGAATCTGTTGTGCTAGAATATGTGAGATGACAAACTGGCGCTAACCACTTCTGTCGTGCCCTCGTCTAAGATCCATTATGCAATTTTGAATCTTAGGTTGACCAAGGCTTGCGGAATGGGTTAGGGTGATTACTCAATTTTGAGTAATCGCGGTGGCTACCTACATTTTCACCTTCCGTTTCAGTATTTTTAAACTGATGATCATGATTGATTAGTGATAATTTTGGAAAAAATAACAATATCCACACCTGATTACTATTTTTAAAATATAAACTTATATATATATTCTTCCTAAACCTTAAAAAATTATAATAACTCTACAACTGTCTCATTTCCTCCCTCTATCTCCCGAAAATACTTTCACTGCCGGCCACCTCCACCTTGTTTCCTCCCTTTCCTCTCTCCATCCACGGCCAACCCTCATTTTCCCGGCGCCCCACTCCTTCCCTCCCCAACTAGCTCTCTCTCTCTCTCTCTCTCTCTCTCTTCTCTCTCTCTCTCTCTCTCTCTCTCTCTCTCTCTCTCTCTCTCTCTCTCTCTCTCTCTCTCGGATTTTACGAAGGGTTTTCCCTGTAGACCGATCGAGATGATGGTGGCGGGTTTGGATTTCGTCGACGGTGTTGGCGTCAGCAATTTTCAAGCGGCCGCTAGATTCCATCCGACAGACGAGGAGCTAATTCTCTTCCAATAATAGGTGTAATGGTATTTATTTATTTATTTCTGCAATAGTATTGTTTCGATTTTACGGTAGTAGTGATATTGGTTGATTTTGGTATTGGTTTGACTCTTGTAATTGTATATATTGTTTATCTTGGTAGTTTTAGAGTAATGGTATTGATTTATTTTTACAATAATATTGTTTTGATTTCACATTAGTAGTGTTGATTGATTTTGGTATTGGTTTGATTCTTGTAATAATATAGATTGTTTGTAGTGGTAGTTCTAGTGTAATGGTATTGTTTTTTGTTATTGTTTTTAATGATTTGGCATTGTATAAATATGCAATGGTATTGGTTTTGTCTAGACTGGTATAGATTTTTTGTATTGGTATTGATTTTTCTTGGATTGGTAATGATTTCTTGTTTTTTTATAATGGAATTGGTGTTTTTCGAAATTCTAGTGATTGTCTAATGGATTGATATTGATTTATTGTTTTTATTTTTGCAGTGGTATTCATTCGGCAAAACGAAAACAAGGAAACGTTGGAGGAAAAAATGAAGAGAGATCTGACTGGAGATTGCGGAAGTGATAGAGAGAGAAAAAAATTTAATTGATATATTTTGTAACTTTCTAAAATGTCATTTATTAAAAAATAAAATTAATAAATATTTTTCTCATACCCAAGGCTTGCTTTGTTGGGCGACCCATGTTGCAGCGAGCTTTTCTTGAGCTTCCTCATTTTTCATGATCTAGCAGGAAGAAGGTGGGAGGATCGGGTCACAAGTTGGAAAGGGTCGGGTCTAGGGTTGAATGGGGGAAACTGAGGTTGCGGGTCAAATTTCAAATTTTTTTGAGCAAGATTTGCTTTCTAGACGATTCTGGTTCTCATATTAACATATAACGAACTCAGTTATCAAAGTTGGATTGAGACAAGGGCTGCAAATGAACCAAGCCGCTCACGAGCAACTCGACTTTCGAGTCGGAAAAAACTCGTTCGACACTCGGCTCATTATTTAACAAGCTGACTCGTTAGTAAACGAGCCAAGCTTGAGCTAGACCATGCAGCTTGATAAGCTCACGAGCTAGCTAGCTTGACATGAACATTATCTTTTTAATACGAATTTGTATGGAAGTTAGCTTTATTTTTTGTGTTTCTAGTGTTCTTTTTATCATTTAAATTCTTATGTGTACACATTTTTTAGCAAGAATGATTTCAAATTGAGCTCATCTTGAGCCGAGTTTGTACTCAGCTTGACAAGTTGTTTTAATGAGCATTTACTGAGCTCGAGCTGAATTATTTTTAACCGAGCAGAACTCGAGCTCGAGCTGGATTATCAAAATTCCAATTCGAGCCGAGCTTGTGCTGCAAAAGTTTGATTATCAAAATTTCAGTTCGAGCCGTGCTCGAGCTGCAAAATTTATAAACAAGCCAAGCTGAAACTATGCTGCAAAACTCTACTCGACTTTGCTCGTTTGCAAGCCTAATTAAGACTTATAGTGAGTAACCAAATGTGGACTATTTGACTAATTCAAGTGGCCAACATTAAATTTAAATATTTCTATTAACTAAACGGTGTAAAATACCTCGGGTACCACTTAAGTTTGAGAATTGGAGCAGATATACCACTTAAGTTTTAATAGGGCGTCGAGTACCACTTAACTCTATTATTTGTGCATCTGGTACCACTTAAGTTTAATGTTAAGTGCATTAGGTTAAAGTTAGCAGAATATTTTTGGAATATTCCGTTTTTTAAATTTCTTAATTTGCCTTTCTACTTTTCTTACTGTAAAAGATCTTTTTGACTTATGAAAAATATCAATTTTTATTATTTAGTTGGTATCCTCTTTTGAAGACTTGATACCAAATTACTTAGATAATTTAGAATTAATTATTATTATAAGTATTTTCAATTATTATTATGTTTACTAATAATTGAATTATTCACTTAAGCAAATATATCCTATGAATTAATGTTTAGTTGGAATCTTCTTTTGAAGACTCAGATACCAAACCAATTTTTGAATATGAAATGTAGGATCAATTATTATTATAAGTATCTTCAATTACTGGAATATGTTTAATTCTTTCTTATTGTGTTACATTTATCCTTCTTTGGTCTTGATGTATTGATGATCGATTAAATTCTATTTTAACTATTTTAATGGTAATTCTAATTGGATTAGGGATTTAAATAGATCTTCTAATATTAATTTTAAATATTTATTATTGTATTCTATATATTTATTATTCTTCTTGATATTTATTTATTATTTTTACTATTTTATCTATTTTATCGACAATATTGATTAGCCATTTTAGTAATATTATGTTTAGAAGGTTTTTTAATTTCTATATTAGATAAAAATTTGTTAACATATAGTTTTGGATGTTTTTAAAAGTTTTGGGTATCAAAAAGTAATTAAATTTTGGATAGAATGGAAAACTAGAATGATGGTACTCTAAAATCCCATTCAAATTTAAGTGGTATGTCTGCCCCAATTCTCAAACTTAAATGGTATTCGGAATATTTTACCTCAAGTTCCTAACTAAACGTGACACTTTTTAGTAAACCGACCGATTACTAGCAATTTATCCTTAAAAAACTAGGGAGTTGCTAAAGCTCGCCCTTAAAATTGCTAAATGTCGCCCTAAAAAACATCAATACATTTTTAACCTTTTAGCTTCTTTACTTTCCCTTAAGCAAACAAACACCACTTAGTAATGAAAATAAAACATTATTCAAAAGAGAGAATCCATCATCGTCATTCTGGAGTCGGAATCGTCGATAGGACATTTGGATCATGACTAGAGACTCCGAATCGGTAAAGTTCACTCCAAAAATTGAAAAATAAACAAATGAAAAGGGAACCGTAGCTCATTTGCGGTTGCATCATGGGCCAACCGCAACTCTCTTGCGGTTGCACCATGGACCAACTGTAACGTGTCTTAGGTTGAGCGGTTTTTTTTTTTTTTTTGAAATTTTGGTAGAGAACGGGCGACGACGAGGGCAGGAAAGGCGTCGGTGGACTGGTGCGTCGAGAGGGTTTCGCGAAGAAGATAGATGAGGGATTCAGTTTGAGGAGTTAAGGATTGTTTGCTTTGTTTAAATTTGAAATTTTATTGGGGATATATAAATAATTTATGATTAGAATTAGGATGATCGTTAGCAATTTTAAGGACGACATTTAGCGATTGAGAAAAACTAGGGGTCGTTTGCTTGTTGAATTTGAAAAATGAGGGTTTTGGCTAAAAAAAAACCTTTGGATTTATGAGGGATTTGTACCATCATGGATTTGAAGAGTCTATTGTTTGCATGATAGATTTGATGATATAATTATGATGGATTTGATATAAATATAACTAGCTATCAAGGATTTACAAATCCCACTCCAATATGTGGGATTTACAAGTTCATGGGGTCCACGGATTTGGATCCAAAAAAGGGAACAAATCCATGGACCCCACGGATTTGACAAGAAACAATGAACTTGACTAAAATCCTTCATGCTTGAAATTTGAGTCTCAAATCCATCAAGCAAACGATCCCTAAACCTTGCTGGCTGCAAAAGGAAAGCGCAAACCGGCTTTATCAGTTTATCCTCTCCGTCCCAACCCATTGAACTCTACCGACCGAAATTCGGGTATCCGGTATTCGCCTTCGCCCCATCAGAATCGCCTCAGGCGCCGACGATCAACGACTATCTCGAAATCCATCAATTCCACTTCGCCGGAAGCGAGAAGTAAACTCAGATTTTAGTTTTGCTTCGTCCCAAGAAAGATCAGAGGCCATCATCATTTATGGGAATCTCCGAGAAGGGACTAAAAGACGAGTCAGCCAATCTATCCAACACATCCACTCTGAAGACCGATTTCAACTCGGAAACAGATACCATTGACGAAGGCCCGCCGCCGCTGTCGACGCCTGGTCCAATCCCATTCGAAGAAGGTGAAAAGGTTCTGGCTTTTCATCGGGACCGGATTTATCCGGCTAAGGTTTATTCATCCCACTCTTTGTTCGATTCCTTTTGGATTTTGAGCTTTTACTGCCCTATTCCAGTTTGATTCAATTTTTGCGTGGTTATTTTATCTCTGACAAGGTGGTGAAATTGGAATATGAGGTGAATGAATGGCGGTTTCTTCTTCATTACCCTGTATGTATTTTTGACTTCTTTCTTTCCGAGTCTGACTCGATTGCTTCCTATGTTGGAGAATTGCTTCTGTATTTTCAACAACGTGATTCCATTGCCCCTCTGTTTTGCAGGGATGGAACAAGCAGTTAGGTGACTTCTTACTTGATTCATATTGGTGAAAGAGGGTAGTAATATCTTAGTTGGTGAAGTTGTACTATAATTGTAATTTGGGAGGTTGAATATGATGTCAATGTGATTTCTAGATGTTGATATTAGATACGTAGTTTCTAAATGGATGGTGCTGAAATTTTGGTGAAGGGCTCATAGTAACTTCTTCGGCTCATGAACTAGTAGTAGCTCTGACAAATAAATCTGTTTTCAACATTTTAAGTACTGTAACAGTTGGGATGAGTGGGTTGGAGTGGATCGCTTGATAAAGTATAATGAAGAGAACGTGCGGCGACAGAAGCTGCAGAATGAGATGCAGAAGCAGAAAGCCCCGAAGCCTGGGGGACGGCCCTTGCTTGGTAAACAAAAAGGTTGTACTGGTTGGGATTTTGTAGTTTTTTTTGGGTAATTGATTTGGTAGTTTCTTCTTAAAGCGATTCTTGGAAATTGAACTCTCTTTAAAGAGCTGAGAATGTATAGCAGGTTCCAGGAGGAGGAAGCAGAAAAGTGACTTGCTTGATAAGGTACTGTCTGCTTTACCTACTACATGGAACTCAATTGCACTCGAAGTGTCAATTAGGAGCAAATACCTTATGTAGTCAAAAGCTCTCTCTACTTTTGATTTTATATGGAAAGTTAAGCATAAGCTGTCTGCTTAGTCTATTTATCATGATGTTTGTTAGGATAAGGGTACTCTCGCCCTTGACAAATCTGCAAGTCTCCAAATTCCATCAAAACTGAAAAAGCAACTGATTGATGACTGTGAATTCATCACAAATCTTGGCAAGGTAAGCACGCTTCCCTTCATATAATCATATCTAGTGTTAAAGATGGGGCTTGAGGTTGGAGTGAGTATTTATTATCTTACTTCTGAATATAAATGTGGCTAAGCTTCTTGTTCTCGTATTAGTAGTCTGGTTAGGAACCAGGCACTGGTCATAAGTGTTCAAATTTTGTTACATGTTCATTGTGTATTGGTTATAATATTGAACTTGACCGCATGCTACTCTATGCTCACAATTATCATTCATACGTTTCCTCATGCAGCTTGTTAAACTTCCTCGGAATCCTTGTGTGGATGACATTCTGAGCAAGTATTGCGCATATAGACTAAAGAAGGATGGGACGTAAGTTTATTCCATGTCTTCATGGTTAAATTGTTTGTTAGTGTCAAAAGAATGAAGGACCCTAATGTTCGGTACTTGTCATCTGAATCTTAAACACATACACAAAGTCATGATTTCCCTCCCTGGGTTCAGGATGGCCGAGTCAGTTGAAGAAATTCTCAGAGGCCTACGTTCTTACTTTGACAAAGCATTACCCGTGATGCTTCTGTACAAAAGCGAGCGACAGCAGTATGATAGTGTGATTAAAGAGGGTATCTCTCCCTCCACAGTCTATGGTGCAGAGCACCTCTTGCGCCTCTTTGGTAAGGAATTTCCATCTTCTGTGTCATGCTGTAGAACCATCTGCTTTGTCCTGTTGTTACTAATGATTCTTCATTGTACCAATGTAGTTAAGCTGCCTGAACTGTTGGCGTTTGCAAACATTGACGAGGATACACACATGGAGTTGCAGCAGAAATTAGTGCATCTCCTAAAGTACGAAATTTGTCATTCTACTAGAATATCTTGCGGCTATGACGGATGTTTTTTTCCTGAAAAAAGTTATCTGGCTGGATTTTGTGCAGGTTTCTGCAAAAGAATCAAACTGCATTTTTCCTCTCAGCTTACCATTCAATGGAAGGAGCTGAAGCAAGCACCAACAATCAGGAGACTAGCTAGCTTGCTAGGCTGGGTTCTGGAAAAGCCTGCAGATTTACGAATAGTTGGTACATAGTGTAATCGTCGGCCATGGATGTATAATGTAGATAGCATATTTCTGTGATCAGCTTTTGCTTCTTTGGTTGTGGAGATGTTGTAGTGTGTTTGTTTGCGATCTTTTGCAGCTGGATTTGGGTAGTGCGACTGCCCAACTTTGAGACTGTTATCTCTATCGATTCTGATCTTTTATCTCACTTGCATACTATCCCAAAAAATTGTACTTCCAACACGAGCTTTGTACTTCCATCACGAGCTTATATTTTCTTTCTACGAATTCGGACTCCATTAAGCTCACTCCGGCAGGCATTGAACAAACTATAGCTATGCATCAAACCCGAAGCTGACGTAGAAGGATAAAAGCCAAAGAAAAAACCCTCATAAAACAGTCCCTGAACTACTCTGCGGATGCCGGATAGCAAGGGCCATATTTTTCTAAAGGTAATGTTTATTTTTTATTCAAGCATTTTTCAGATTTTTTTTATATTATCCAATCTATCAAAATACTAAGAATTAGTCAGATGTTAAATTTACGGTTAGAAATTTTGTTAGTAATATTGAATTGACAACATGATACTGACTTGAAAGAGACTTATGTTGATCCAAAATTTTAACATTTTAACTAAGAAAAGAATTACAAAATTATTAACGGTAACATAAAAATGACTAATATTTTAATGCGTAATGAGAGATTTAGATAATTAATATAATTTTAATAGGTTTGGATAATATAAAAGAATCTGAAAAAGGTTTGAATAAAAAATAAACATTACCTTTTTTCTAATAATAAGCACTCCAATCTAACTGAACTTCAGCTATGAGCACAACTAATCATTGTATTAGTGTAGGTGAATCCTCGCACAACATATCATAAATTCATAAAAGTCACACAACATAAATCCTCACACAACATATTCTAAGTTTAGTAGATGAATCCTGACAAATCACAATCTCACCAACAAAATACATTAATTCTTGAAATACAACCAATTCCTAAACTTAGGAAAAGTGGATGGTTAATTAACGATAATAATAGTTTGATGATGTGGGCTACGGAGGATGGAACGAAACAAGCCAAGCCAAGAGGTAGCATATTCGGAGAACGACGTGTGGGTAACGGACAAGCTCAACATTAGTAGTTGGCATTGGGACCTTGTTGGATTTTGCAGCCACAAAACCTGGCCGGTGCCGATAATACAATTGCAACCACACGAGAAGTCGAATACGTACATCTGGCCGGTCATCATTTCTTTTCCAAACTGCCTAATAATAATGTCAACCATAACAACAAGGACAGATGAAATTTCTACTGAAACACAATTAAAGCCTTACATTTTCACTAGACCTAAGTGTCTAGTCTCTAACGGTGCAAATTGCCACTAGAACAACCTGTTGCTGACAACCATCTACAAACAATTTCCTACAAAAATGAGTTGTTGGCTTATTGCTCTACTATGTATCCCCAGAAAGGTTCTGATTTAGTCTATACTCTATAGTCAATACACACAATTGCATCGATTCCGTCACATGCCATAAAATGTTCATCAGATCATAATACAGAGAGCCCACCACATCTGGTCTGGACCATCACTTTCTACTGCTAAAGTTCCCTCAAGCTATCTAACAAAACCACATCACTCACTCCTTTTCCCAAATATCAATTCGCTCAAATTCAAACCCGCCCACTTGCATTTGTGGTTCTCCTGCTTTTCTGTGTCCCTTTTCCCCTTTCTCGACGCAAACAAACTCCAGCTGTCTGACAGAAAAAAGAGTGATGTCAAACAGATCTAGTGTAGTGATTCAAAGGGGGGAAACAAAAAAGGTGTTGGGCCCGAAGTTGGGCTTTCCAATAACATCTACCACAGTTTAGCTTGGGCCGCAAGCCCACTAAAGGTGTACGTGATTTTTATTTTTTTCACAGGCTGATAAATTCGATTATGGGAAAGAAATGAACCAAGAGAAAACAGGCAGAGATGAACGAGAGAAGACACCAAATTGGAGTCCTTTTTCCTCCCTTTTCCTTTCATTCAATTTATGGAGCGAAGATTAATATTTTTGACAGTTTCGTTTTAGTTACTTTTTCCTCATCATCATATTCCAGAGACGAGTCTTTCCTCTAGAACAATGAATGAACACAAACCCAGTACCCCCACCCCTCTGAATTACCCTTTTTTCATTTTTTTTTTACCCCTACTGTACACTACCAAAATTATTACTTCCCTTCCTGTATAGGACCACCGATTGATAAAAAAGCAACTAAACGACATCTTCTAATCCTTCCTTCCTTCTTCCCGCTTCAATCGACCCTGTTAATCCCAATTCGCTTAACCACAGCGTTCCTTATGGCTTCCGCCTGGAAACACATCCCCTTCTGCTCAATCCCGGACATGTAACTCCTCACCTCCTTCCTCACCATCTCCTGCATAACCGCCAGAAACTCCGGATTGAAGAACTGCTTCTCGTACCCCAACTCCCCCTTCTCTTCACCCGCCGCCTCCTCCTGCTGCACTGCCGGAGCTGGCACCGGCGGTGGTAGTGCAAGGATGGGAAGTTGGGGGGCTGGCACCGGTGGTGGTAGTGCGAGGACGGGGAGTTGAGGGGGATTTGTCGGGCTACCAGATCCGAGACCCGACCCGGATCCGGACCTGGTCAGTTGGTTCGGATTTTCAAGCGGGTCGGATCCTGGCAGAGACAGGCTGAGCGAGGTTGGGGGATCCCTTATCGAGGGAGAAGGAGAACACACATCCATGGAGAGAGTCGGAGGGATCAACGACGCCGTCCTGGCCAGCGGGCGGTAGACAGGGGAGGAAGAAGCATTGTTACCGGGAAGACTGGAGTCGCTGAGCTCGGATCCGGAGGGGCTGTTCGGGTTCAAGTAGAGACCCGAGAAATTGGTCCCGGCGCCGAGGCTGGCGGATCTCTTGAGCGGCTTTTCGTCCGGGGAATCCAAATCCTCAGTCATCGAAGAGCATTTTCTCTTGAGGGTGGAGTTCCAGTGGTTCTTGATCGCGTTATCGGTGCGGCCGTTGAGGAGGCGGGCGATTGTGGCCCACTTGTTTCCGAACCGCGCGTGGGCCTTGATGATTGTGTCGTCCTCTTCGGGGCTGAACGGCCGGTGCTCGACCTCAGGGGAGAGCTGGTTGCACCACCGCAGCCGGCACGATTTCCCCGACCTCCCGGGGATCGATTTGCTTATGAGAGACCAGTTTCTCGGGCCGTAGCTCTGGACCAGTCGCTGTAGTGACTCGTCTTCCTCGGGGCTCCATGGACCCTTGATCCGTTCAGCTTCTTTTCTAGCCGCCATGGATTTGAGTATACAGAAAGGGGGGGAAAAAACTCTAACCAAGGAAGGAAGAGAGAGAAGCAAGGAATTTACAGATAAGAGATAGAGTACGCCGGGAGAGAGGCGGTTTGCTAGGCGGTGGCGATTGTGGTGGCGGTGGTGGAGGCGGCGCCTCACCTTTTGGATTGTGTGAGAGGAGAAGAGGACAGAGAAGGGAAGCGAGGAAGCGAGGGCAATTTATATGGTTAGCGGGTAGGGATAAGGATGACCGGTTGGAGCCGGTTAGGGTTACCGGTGGTAGCCGTTTTGAAAAGGGGATTCTTCCAGGCAAGGCAGTTACTAGTAAACAGCTGTCAAATGGACACGCGTCGACTTTCCGCGCCTTCAAAACTACACGTATAAACGCTCCCTCTCAGCCAGAAAAACAAACAAACATGTATTCCTTCCATAACTGGCTTTTTCTTCCATTAATAATTTTCTTATTTCCCCCAGCGGTTACTCTGCGATAAATAATACGGCTCCTCCACACTTCACACAGCCAGGCAACAGTAAATATATTTTTGTAACGAGAAGAGAATTATAGTTTTGAAAATAAATTATTTTTATTATTATAGTAATCAAGAATTAGCATACCTGATTGTACAATCGGTCTAACTTGAAATTCCACCTATTTTCATATTTGTAGGTACAGTATATACATATGTACAGTTTATTAAAATCATATCGACAGATTTCATGGAATTAAATTGACAATTCATGATTATACTGATCAATTTTATTGAGAAATTATATGAGTGCAATATCAGTGGAATATACAGTTTATCTTTTAATAAATAATATTAATCAAATTACCAGGAAAAAAATTATATTAATCAAATATACTATTGTTGGGGGTATTACCCAGCAGGCTAGGAGATTGGGCTCCCAAAGGAGGAGTTGGGGGGCAAAGCCCAAAAAGGTAAGAATCAATACCCACCAGTGGCCTTTGGGCCCAAACAAAGGAAAGGACCTCAAGAGTAAAGCACCAAAAGCCAGGTGGCGGCCAACCGGCTGGTGGACCACAGCCTGCGGGCGCCTGTCGTGTGTCAGGTGTCGGGAGTCTGACAGGGCGGTTAGCTGTCTCACAGAGCACCAAAAGCCAGGTGGCGGCCGACTGGCTGGTGGACCACGGCCTGCGGGCGCCTGTCGTGTGTCAGGTGCCTGGCAGAGCTGTGGGATGTCAGTCAGGTGTCAGGAGTCTGACAGGGCGGTTAGCTGTCTGGTGGCGCAGAGCATTAAATGAGAGAGGTGACGTGGCGGAGATCAGCCTTGGGTTCGGTGAGTATAAATAGGGGCAGTCGACAGCATTTACGCAGGTTGGCTTCTCTCACTAAACTATTCCTCGACACTTATCTCTCTAGAAAAGGGCACTGACTTGAGCTTCGGAGTGCTAACGGGTCGACCAAGGCCCTTAGGCGCTTGTGGGTGCAGGTTCCGGGCGTCTGAGAGACGGGTAGGTGGGAAAGTGGAGGATCAGCGTTCGTAGGTATCTAGGCTCAAACAATTGGCGCGCCAGGAAGGGGGAGAAGGCGCACGAAGACGATAGGCGCATGGAGAACATGAACGAAGGGAACGATGGAGAAGGCAATTCCAGGTCGGGGAACTCGGATCACGATGAAGGCGAGCGTCAACTGAGTCAAGAGAGGAGTACGGATGAGGAGGGACAAAGAAGCCCTAGGCGCCTGTCTGCTGATGATAGCGGGTCTTTGACGAAAAGAGAGCTGTTTCGAATCATAGCCGACCAAGATCGGGCCATAGCGGCGCTCAAGAGGGAGTTGGAAGGGGAACGAAGTGAAGATGTGATGATGGACAGCCCAGGGGCGAGAAAGCGGGAAAGGATGGGGGAAGATTCAGAGTCTCTGCAATACGGACCGCCGCACGCCTCCGAGCAGGGGCACGACGCGTTTGGGCGCCCACGAGATGGGAGGCTGAATGTCGAGCGCGCGCAAACGGGCCCAGAAGACGTATGGGCGCCTAGGAGGATTGCTCGAAGGTTTGGTGTTCGGCAGCCCCTGGCGCGATGCATCTTAATGGAGCCAGCGGGAACTACGATCCCCCCGTTGCCGAGTTATGATGGGGTGGCTGACCCGGAAGACCACCTGAATAGCTACTTCACTAAGATGCAGCTCTACAACAGCTCCGACGCCACATTGTGCAAAGTGTTTTCGTCCTCATTCGCGGGCGTGGTCTTGGATTGGTACCACCAAATTGAGGAGGGGCGCATAGAATGTTTCGAGCAATTCGCTGAGCTGTTTTTGTCCAAGTTCGCGAGCCGAAAGCGTCGAACATTGACCATAGGGGCGTTGTTTAAAGTCAAACAGAGGGAAGGCGAGGCGCTCAGAGAGTTCTACGATCGTTGGATCTCGGTTGCCATGGCGGTCAAAGATGTTCAACCGGCCGTGTTAGGGGTCTGCCTGGATGCCTGCACCTCAAGCGAAGAGCTATGCCGGGTCCTGTCCAAGCGAGATGTAGTATCCACCGAAGACCTTGACCGAAGAGTACAAAAGGTGATTATGTTGGAAGAAACTTTGGCGGCGCGAAGGGCTGAAAAGAGGCGTCAAAGAGGTGATGAAGGTGAGGTAAGGCAGGCGCCCAGACCTGGTCCCGGAAGTTTCGTCCCACCAAGGAGGCCAGAGGCGCCACGCCCTGTGCCGAGGAGTGCTGCAAATTTTACAGAGTACAATGATACCCTCAAGAATGTGCTGCAATATGTGAAGGATAGGGGATACCATATACGGTGGCCGGGGCCCATGCGCGGCCAGCCTAACGAAAAAAATCTTGACAGGTATTGTGACTTCCATCGCGACAAGGGGCATCACACGGCCGATTGTTACCAACTAAAGTCCGAACTTCGAACTTTAGCTGACAAGGGCATGCTCAACGACTTCGTTAGAAGGATGGAGGACAGGACGCATCGAACCTATGTGACGAGGCAGGCGCCGGAACAGAGGAGGGCGCCTGAAGAACTAAGGGTACAAACCGTGGTGCCGCCCACGGTCAGTGAAGCGCTTAAAGAACCAGAAGCTGAGCCGGCGCCTATTATTCCACCACCTCCGTTTGAGGTGGATCAAGAGGGAGAACCCAGTCGTATAAGGCTTACAGTTGAGTCCATAACGGGTACCCTTAACTTGAGAGAGAAGTTGGAAAGATCTAGGCGCCTGCGAGCTGCGTCGCTTGAGGCCAGGGAATCCGTACACATCCACTTTAATCAGGAACCGGATGAGGCGTGCCAAGTCCCGTCGGAAGAGGCTCTTGAGATACAAGGGGTGATAGCCGGATGTAAGGTGAAGAGAATGTTGGTAGACACAGGCAGCTCTATGGATGTACTCTTCAAAAGCACCTTTGAACGGATGCAGCTGGCACCTGAGTTGGTGCGCCCCTCGAATTCGGTGTTGGTCGGGTTCTCTGGGGCGCCTGCTCAAGTCATCGGACGCGTACGCCTCCCCGTGACTCTGGGGGATGAAGCGCATTGCGTAACGCATGCGGTGGAATTTGGCATCGTTGACTGTCCGTCGCCGTACAATGTGATACTTGGCCGACCTCTTTTGGCGCAATTCAATGGGGTAGCCTCGACGTGTCATCAGACGCTGAAGTTCGTCGCTCCCCAAGGCGTGGGCGTCTCGCGAGGAAGGAATGTCCCGCGATATGCAAGAGAAGAGGAGTCAAAGAGTCGAGGCCGGAAGCATAGACTGAATATCATAGACATCCGTCCGGAGGAGGCGCCCAGGGCGGAGCCGGTAGATGATGAGATAGCTGTGATATTGGACGAGGAGCGCCCAGACCAAATGATACGAATATCATCACAGGCGCCAGAGGCTATGCGAGCGCCCTTAATAGAATTGCTGCGGGAATTCGGAGAATTGTTTGCGTGGAGCGCTCGGGATATGCCCGGAGTGTCCCCTGAAGTTGCGGCTCATAGGCTGGCAGTGGAAGAAGGTAAAAGGCCGGTGCAACAAAAGCGACGAAACTTGACCCTCGAGAAAGAAGAGGCGCTCCGGCATGAAGTTGATAGGCTGCGAGAGGCGGGGTTTGTGGAGGAAGCAAGGTACATTACGTGGCTCTCCAACGTAGTGTTTGTCCCAAAGTCGTCGGGAGATTGGAGGATGTGCGTGGACTTTACTAACCTCAACCGGGCGTGCCCGACGGATGCTTACCCTATGCCACGCATCGACTTGCTGGTAGATGCAACGGCGTATCATGAAGCGCTCAGCTTCTTGGACATGTTTTCAGGCTATCATCAGATCCCTATGGTGGAGGAGGACCGGGCGAAAACGGCCTTCATGACACCTTTTGGCAACTTTTGCTATCGTGTCATGGCATTTGGTTTAAAGAATGCAGGTGCCACTTACCAACGTATGGTAAACCAAGTCTTCCGCAAGCAGATAGGGAGAAACGTGGAAGCATATGTGGATGATTTGATAGTGAAGAGCAAGAGGCGCCTAGATCATATCCTGGACCTCCGGGAAACTTTCGAGACAATGCGCCGATTCAATTTGAGGCTTAACCCCAAAAAGTGTGTGTTCTTTGCGGAGGCGGGAAAATTCTTGGGTTTCATGATAACCAAGAGGGGGATTGAGGCTAATCCCAGGCAGGTGGAGGCCATCAAGAACTTGGCGCCCCCGAAAACGCCGAAAGAGGTGCAAGTGTTGACGGGGAGGCTGGCGGCGTTGGGACGGTTCATTCCGCGAGCCTCGGACCGAGGCGCCCCCTTCTTCAAGGTATTGAAAAAGGCCACCAAGTTTCGATGGACTGAAGAATGCAACAAGGCGTTTGAAGAATTGAAGGGGCTACTCATAGCGCCTACGGTAATGACCGCGCCTAGAGCCAAGGAAGTGCTATACTTATATATAGCGGTGTCCCACGTCGCTGTGAGCGCTGTACTGATATCCAAAGACTCGCTAACGAATGAAGAGCGACCGGTGTATTACGTCAGCCGCACCATGATTGGCCATGAAACGCGATATGCGCCCATAGAGAAGGCG